CGGGCGGACTACCCTTCTCTGTCTGTCTCATCTGGAGCACGACGCCGCGTCTGCCTTCACGGTCCTATGGTAGCAAGATTCGCGCGAGCGCGTGGTACACTGCGCCAGTCAATACCTCCACCTGCTGGTTCACCTACCGGGTGTTGCCAGCGAGTTGACGAGAAAAAAGGGCGCGGGGAATTCGGCAGGAGAGCATCGAGAAAGAATCCAGTCTCGCACCGGATACTCGTCCAGAAAGCGGACCGACCTAGCAACATTCTTCTTTTTTCCTTTTTATTGTTTCTCTTTCTGACTTTCTTTCTTTTGGGAAGCTTCTTAGGGTGCGTTTAGATTGGGCAAGCGAGTGTTCGTTCTTCGCCCACGTTCAATGTATTCGAGCGTGAATTTAATGTTGCTCAGAGATTTTGTTTGACGGCTCGGATACACCATGTGACAGAATGTACTAATGATAAGGGCGCTCGTATCGTTGAAACTATTCGACCGACATGATTCAATTCGACGTATTTTAGTTCCGTGCGTCTCGATTCAGGGTAATTCGATTTTCTCTGATTCGCACCGACAAGTTTCAATTCCACGTGATTTCATTCGACACGATTCCATTCTACATGTTTTAAGTCAACGCTTTGCGATTCTACGTAATTCAATATTATGCAATTTAACGTAATTCCACGTTATTAAATTCAATGCATTACAATGTAATTCGACATAATTCAATTTCATGCGACAAGGTTTAATTCGGTAGATTACAATTTCATGTGACTCAATTGCATATATTTCAATTCCTCCTGATTCAATTTAACACGATTCAATTCGCAGTTATTTGGGATCATGTCATAAACGCGCCGAATTGAATCGCGTCAAATTGAAACGCGTCAAACTGAGCCATTTCGAACTGAATCATGCTAAATTCGAATATGTCAAATTCGATCATTTCTAACTGAAACGCCGAATTTAATTATATCGAATTGAATATAGTGTAATTGAATTTTATCTAGCTGTCCCCTATTGAATTCGAATTAAGCGCTCGGTTCAAACTTCACAAATATTCGCCCGCATTCAACTGTTTGGTGTGACCGAGAATTTTGCTGATACTAAACGAGCACGAGCAAATGTTCTTGCTCGTTTAATTTAAGATCTGAACGCACCCATATATACTTTCTTCTTGAGCTCGTGTCGGATTAGAATCCTCTTTGACAGATAACTCCTAAACAAGTCCGCAATTCCTACCGATGCTTCGTCTTGAAGCGTCACATTTCATTGTGCACGATGACATTTCACCGTTGAACCCAAAGAGCGAGTCGAACCGTGATTAATTAGGAATCCGAGAAATTCTAACGCTCTCTGTTCCGAAAGCAGGTAGACGAGATGGAAAAAGAATGCGAAGAATTCCCGCAAAATGACGCGAACTTGGGAATACACCTTTTTCGCTGTAACAGCTTGGTCCGAGATTAGAAGCTCCGTGATAAATGATGCGGCGGAGAATGAATTGCGTCTATCCTTTATTTTCTTTAATGACGTTAAATTAACCGATACAAATAGTTGTACAAATAACTTAGACGTTAACGATTGTTTAAAAGTACTTTGATTTATTAATTGCCTGCTTTTGGGTTGGTACAAAAAATGGCGGGAAAATAACGAGAACGAAAAGCATAGAAATTCTCAATAAAATAATTTGTTTCTTTCATAATATTTGCTATGAATCTATAAACGATTTAATCGTAAAATTATGTTAAAAGTTTTAGTAATGTACTTTATGGTTTAAAGTGTAGCAGCATAAGTACTACTTTATATATTATCTAGTGTTTCTTTGAGTTCCAGTGCTCTTTCTTTGAAGATACTTAGAGACATAAAAGCACAGACCTGTATCTCGAGCAGTAAGTTGTCGTAGCAATTTGTCTTACTATTTTCTTACCGCGCCAACCTGTACTGTATTTCAGTCCCCAGCTATTTTCCTCAGGTGGGAAGCGCACGAGCACATCCCCCGGGAGTAGAAACCAGGAAGACAACGTCACAGGCATTTCCTCTACAAAATAGATCGCATCGCGGGAAAGACAAAGCGGGAAACGTTACCAAGCCAACGCGGAGAAAACTGTATCTACTTCATATTTGTTAAATATTGCCCCTCGAGCTTTGTTCTTCCTTTTTTAATATACACAATTGCGTCGCGGTTGATAAATATAATTTTAACGCTAATATAACTAACATTAATGTGTTCAACATTCGTCAATTTAGAATTTTTAAAATTAAGTTCTTGCAGTTCGTAAATTTTGAAATTTGAAAGTGTACAAATTACATAAAAATTTATATATATTCAATATTCGCTGCAATTCGTTTTCTATTTTGTGTCGGATCTTGCTTGGAAATTTATTGTACCAATGGGTCGATTCATCTCCTCGGTCCAGGTAGATGTGTGTCCTGCTGCACAATATATATCTCGTAGCTTGTATGTTTAAACACACTACGAAGTAGATACGAATGTCTCCTCCGAGACCACTTCCGGCGGGTGTACCCGGGCAAGCACGCACCTTCGACGGGATTACGAAGTATAAACGATCTCCTCTTCACAATTACGCCGGTCCTCGTGGTGCTATTAGATATGCTTTTAGTCTAAACTCTCCTAACTTATCGACTCCGCTCATTGATTTTAATTTTGTCGAATTTATGCACCAATATTATCATAATTGTTAAGTTTGCACTTTAACTATAATAGTTTTTGGAATGAGGGAGAAATGTGACGATTGAAGGTCTCCGGTAAAAGTAACAAAGTTGGAATCGCAAACTAGTTTTTATTGTATTACATGTATGTAATATAACAAATATTGGAAAAATTTTTTCCATCTATAAGCTCTTCCTAGATATTTATGGAAAATCATATATCACAACCTTGGAAAGGAGTATGCTTACTACCACGTACAATGCAGCAACATGTTTTAATAAATGATATGAAAAAAGGTACATATTTGGAAATCAATTAAAGAACCCTTCTTCATTAAACAATATAAAATAAATAATAGTACGCATGTGAAGTTGTGTTGCTACGTTTCATCTTGCTTAGGTACTGCTTGCTTCGGTACTGCGAGCACATATTACAATATTTAAATATTATAATATCATAAATATTACAATATTTAAATATTTTCTATAACTATCGAATGTATCAAAACTTATAACGAAGGAGTAATACGTGGTATTTCGGTATGTGCCATCAAAACAAGCAAGCATGTGTAGTCATCAAATGATGCGAAAATACCTTCCTTTTATTCTCACTTAAGGTGCACGTAATGCCATTTATCGACTGAAATCAAACATCAGAATATTTTGATAATCATTGTATAATTAATAGAACAATATACATTCATAGAAAGATAGCATCAAATACGAAGCGTTTATAATTTATGATGAAGCGTTGAGATAAAATAAGTTTTATCAACTGAAATTAAGTTATAAAGTTATGTAAATCAAATCTCGTATGTTACATGTTTGTGATTTTTTAAATTTTGACTTACCTATTGGATCTACTGCTTGAGGTTCTGATGGCTCTGGAGCCTTTTCCAGTATTTCTTCAGCAGCTTCTGCAGTAATTTTGAACGGACTGCCAGCGACAGTTACGTTAGTACTGTAAACATAATTTTTATAAAGCAACGTTCAAATAAACGGATTAAGTGAAGCATCGGATGCTTGCAAAATCTAAAAGTTTCTAAATTTGAAGACATCATTACAAACCATGCAATTCCTCCTGCTGGCGCTTCACGCTTAATAAGGTTTTGCCAGTGTTGATGTACTTCTTCCACAATACGTAATGCAAAGTCTCTTGACTTTGCTTCTCCATTAAATGCAAACTGATTCTCCGGTTTACCGTCTGGAATTTTGTAAATCTTGAACCATTCAATGGTAGCTTTCATTAGGCCCGGATAATGTTTCTCAATATCTGATACATCTGCAACGTTAAAAATTTCCGTGTATCTTAATCAACCTGTTTATCAAATAGATTACAATGACGCATCCATTATACCACGGACATTCAGCGAATAAAGCGGAAATGTTTGTCTGATAAGATAGGTACATAATAATAGAATAATGCCTTATAAATCGATATATTACTTATTAAATTGTCAATGATTAAGAAAGATAACTTGATATAAATAATGCTACCATTCATTTGGTCGGCCAAAGGATCATTGACGTCGATAACGATTATTTTCCAATCCGTTTCGCCTGAAATCGTGAACAAACAAAATAAAATAAAAATTTTTAAAGATTACTACTTGTTTATTCAAAATTCCACATACCCTCATCTATGAGTGCAACAGTACCCAGAACTTTTACTTTCAAAACTTCACCTCTTTTTGCAACCTAATAAAACCATATCTTGTTATACTTAAATTAAAATTTATCACTCATGGATTTAAAATTAAAATCTTGTACCCTATATCCTATTTCAAGGACATCAATAGGATCATTGTCTCCTTTGCATCCAGTAGATTCATCCAGTACCTCAGGGTTTTCCCAGGTCTGTAAATAAAATTTTTTATTAATATCAATAAGAATAAATATTTGCAAAGAAATGCACGTATATGAGAATGAAAGAAGCGATATCAAACATTTCATATTAAACGAAGTCAACTAGATAATATGTGATACCCTTGAACTAAGTTTAAGACTTTACATAAGATGTGATAAGGCATTGTTCATACATTCCTATGAAGTGTGTCTACAAACTTAAATTGAAGTGTGTATGAACCATCCTACTATACATTTTCTTTAATAAGTTGATGCCAATGAAATTGATGATGTCATTCTATTAAATGATGTCACAGGATAAAATGATGCCAACAATGTTATCAAACACCAATTAAATGCCTTTGTGGTGCATTCTATTGTTCCCTTAAACTATACTGATCTATTAAATGACTCAGAATTCATTGATGAGCGCAAAAAAAATTTTTTTGCAGATAAAACTATAGAATTTTGGGACTTTTGGAAGATGTGGGAAACTCTACATTAAATAATTAAAATAATTTATACCTGTGGCAATGCACCATAATTCCATATGTATCCATGATGAGGGAAACAATTTGCAACATATCTTAATTTGCCTTTTTTAACATCCTGCTTAATAGGATTTAATGTTTCCTTAAGATTGATTTCCATCTTTGCATTTGTCCACCTTGGTATCTCAACAACCATGTTCATTACTTTATTAGCTTCATCAGCATAAAGTGGAATGTCATGCATGGGTGAAATTGGGCCAGTTTCATTTCCTACAATATATATATACATACAACATATATTAGAACTAAATACCATTTCAAATTTAGAATTATTGATTGATCAACCATGTCAGATATTCATTAAAATTCCTAAGATTTCAAACAAAAAGTCCTTAGCATTGAAATCTTGATAAAACTAAGGCAGCAAAGCAAACAAAAAACATCTACACTCTACATATCTAGTCCTAGAATGATGCAAATATTTCAATCCTTTCACTAAAACAACTGTCATACTGACATTATAGAAAGCTTAAGACACGTAAAGAATAAGAATGCAAACAAAATTTCATTGAGTTTAAAAAAATTGCAGCATTAAGAATTATGAATAGATGATAAGATCACAAGGTAAAACTAATTATGCAAAAAAATTAGAAGTCATATCTTGAGCGTATTACAAGAGAGAAGTACCGAATAAAACGATTACATAATAAAAATCTGCTGTGTAATATAATTACATATTTTAAATTTGCAATGAAGATTTGACCTATACGTTGACCCTCGACCTTTGAAAAACAATCAGTCGGAAACTGAAAGTGCATGTAAGGTTATGTTCTAAAATACTTACTGAAATAAACTCTGTAATCAGAGCCGTTTAGTGCACCTTTCTCTACAGCGGTGTACGACATTTTTGTGAGTTGTTTCTCGAGCGCTGAACACGTTTGCGGTTGTGCGAAAGTACCGGTCGCTACTAATCTGAGCGGAACAGTCAACTTTTTGAAACCTCGGCAACGTAACACGTGTAGCGTTATCAGCGACATCCTGTCATCTAGCGTCACAAACGCGTACTAAATTTCCCGTTACGCGCGAAGAAATAAATTCATGATAATCTGTTATCAGTCTCGGTACAACTAATAAATGTGTGTGTTTCATTCGTGCTGATTCATTGTATTGGTCTTTTACGCAGCGTTAGAAAATGTAGCGTAATATGAAATCAAATTTGTTGCTTTTAAAATCGATATACTAATGTTGAAAACAGTACTTGAAACTTCTCATTGTGCAACAAATAAGGAAATAAGGAAGAAAATTAAGTAGGAAGAAAGTTAGCGCTAAAGAGTATTCGAACGTTCAAAATGACGCCGCATTGGCGCGAAATTCAATTCTGTCTTAATCGTAATCCCATAAATAACTAACAGAACGATGCATAAATAAAATCATTAGTGGATTTTAAAATGGGAAAGAAATTTGGAAATCTGAATATTTGATGATTAGTACATTGAAAATTTGGAAATACAAAAATTAATTAATGTCATTTATGACTTTCTATTCCATACGTAAATCACATTTATTGCAATGAATTATAAAAAATGCAGAAAATAAATTAACAATAAAAAAACGATCTCTCCATACGGCACGAAATTATAAATAAATCTGAAAAATAGTTTAAATTATATTTTAATCAAGATTGATTAACAAAGTCCTTCGCGTTTCAGAAACACTTTCAGTGCAAAATCGTTCGTTTAACAAAAGACGCTAATCGATGTGCAACTAACAGCATTTACAAAGATTATTTATAGTCCAAGATTTTTATTCAGAGTGGGTGAAACCTTAAGCTTCTTGAATACTTTTCGATTACTGCATCGCAGAGATAATGAAATCCAGGAATTTGGTGACTCTAATATAAACACCAGGAGATCCAGGCAGACCGCACCCATGTCCGTACGAAACCACTCCAATTTGGAAAAAATGCTGGCGCTGCGGCAACATCAAAGGTCCTCCGCTATCACCCTACAAAATTATGAAGAATTAAACCTTCTACATTTCACCGAATTATTTTTTTATGAAGTGCATTTATCGAATTTTTAAACGTTGCATGACAAAGTTTGCATTCGCTAAAATGGAAATTAATGGCTGCGTAGAAGTTTGCGAATTTGAAGGTTTCATGAATTTTGTGACTTTACCTGGCAAGCATCCTTTCCACCACGAGCATATCCAGCACACAATACTCGATCATCGATGACAGCAGCTTGGAATCGAGAATATGCATTATTACAAGCCGCATTATTAACTACCGGTACCTGTGCCTCCATAAGAATCGGGCTAATAATACGGCTCCCTGGCGAGCAAGTCAAATGAAAGAATGTTTAAATAAAATTTACATTGAAAAATAGGGAAAGAATTTATTTACCTGATTCAAGTGATCCCCATCCAGCAACGAATGGAAAGGCTCGTACGAAATCATTATTCTGAAGGGAAGGCCCTACTGGGAGACAAATCGGGCGAACGTAATCTGAAAGTAAAAAGACAAAAACGATCCAGATATTTTCATTCTTAACGAAACTTCTATTCGTTAATTTCGAATAGAATTTCAATGAACACCTGAAATTGTTATTTCGAGGAAGAATGGATATTTATAGAATTGACACTTACCGGAAAATTGCACATCATCGCTCAACCTGATAACAGCTATATCGTTAGCTGTATGAACTGTTACTTTGTCAATTCCCAATTGAACAGGTTGAACACCGTCGTTATCGCTGAATAAATCTAAGTCCCCAATGCGGACGGTGTACAAATCATCGGTAATACAGTGAGCGGCAGTCAAAACGTGTCTGGAGGATATCAAGGATCCTCCGCACATCCATATTGTTTGCGATGAAATGCTTTTATTCTCGTAGCCCAAGGCTGCTATCCAAGGCCATGCACCTGAAATATTGTAAACACTGTTAATGTACAGTACATAATTTAATTGTTGAAATTAAAATTGGGGAGGGTCACGTTTTAAGAGATTTGGAGACTTCACAATTGAGGGTGTAGGAATTTGGGGATGTAGAAATTTAGGAATGTGGAAATATGGCGACGTAGCAATTTGGGGATATAGAAGATGGAGGGTTACAATTGGGATGTTACAATTTGGCAACGTAGAAGTTTGGAGGTACAGAAGTTTGAGGACGTTGGAATTTGGGGATGTAACAATGTGAGATTGCCGAAATTTATTCCCCAATTGAATTTACACTGTTGATACACCCACAGATAAATTAATTAAAAAACATAAAAGTCAGGATATGACCTACGTACCAGGCTCAGCAGGCACACCACCAACAACTCTGTGATGCGCGACATTGCTGAAACCACAATCCGGTGGTTGCAATGGCCCATACGGACTGTCCCTTATTTCCTTACTATCGCTTGAGTTGTTTTGAGGGCAACAAACAATTGGATCCCTGTCAGCGTAATAGCAAACAGCGTTCGTCAAGTATTCTTTGGCTGCCGTGCCATAAGTTTCTAGTACATATATTAAATACGGACAGGACCGTATGTTAATGCAGACGCCTTGTAGTTTGTTTCGTGTACATGGTTCACCTAAAAAGCAGTATTTTTAACTCCAGTATTCATTTAACTCTACTATTCATTTAGCGTATTCATTTAAGTCCAATATTCACAAATATTTTGTGAATAGTTTATGAATTTAATGAAAGCCGTGAATTAGTCATATTGCCTCCTTTTGTTATTTATAGCATGAACTAATTATACTTGTTTCACCAAAAAATTAATGAATTATGAAAGAATATAGGAAGGTATTTTCTGGAAGTCTGATTATCTTGTTACTATCAATTTCGTGGTTCTTAGTAGACTTCATCGAACACGGATTCTTAGTATACTTCATCGAACACATTTACTTTATACTAGTCATTCAATTGACAATATTTAAACGAATAAGTTGAACATTTTTCAATTTGTTTTTGTTCGGTATTACATATATATTACAGTTGGAAAAAAATTTCTTTTACAAACCTTCTGCGGATACTTGGGGAACCATTGATGGATACAGAACTGCAATTAACACCAAACATGGGAACAACATCTTTCCTATCGCTGGGTTTCTGAAAAGAAAGAGAAGGTTCAGTATCGCATCAAAACATACGAATATCAATTTCTACAAATATTTAAAAAAAAATACAAATTGCAGTGATATAATTCATAGGATTATCACTATATGAAAACATCACATAGTCGTGTTTGAAGTGAATTTAATTGTCACATGGAATATTATTCAATAAGTATAAAATAATTTAAAATACATGAAGCTCTGTTCATACACCAAATCTCACAAATTTCGCAGATAATTCACTTTAGAATAATTTATCACAAAACAGGTAATGACTATAAAAATTACAAAATAGAACACTGTAATTATTGGTATCTCGTCTATAACTTTTTTTAGTAATCTTCGCGTACTACTCTACACGGAGTGACCTTTTCGTTAAACTTCGAACTTCTGAATGAGCTTAACTGAATTATACCTGATTATTCAATAAATTTTTATACACGTGACTATTCAATAAATAGTCGATTCCTGTGAGACACTAAGTTCACGACAACTCACGCGAACCTTCTTCTGGCACGACTCGCGTCCGATTGAGAATTTCTCATCACGATGGCCGCTATTTAAAAGGGTTAAACAATTTCGGGAACCATTCATTAGAATAAATAAATCATTTTATTTTGGAGCTACAATGACAACGTTTAAAGGAATTCGTATAAGTAAATCACATTGAAAGACATAAAAAGTATAGATCTATATTGGATTCTGGATAGAAGCTGTGTCAAGTTTGAGATAAGCATTTGTTTGTGTCACCAAAGATACATGCAAAATGGAAATTATTTTGAACAGAACAAGTTTTTGTTCAAACTTCACATTAGTATTCATAAATCGACATTTATGCGGCATTTTTGTGGCGTTACATCATGGTCGAGAAAAGATCTTCTTTATTCAACTTTTCCTCAATATTTCAATGCACAAAAAACAAGGTTCGATAACTTTCTTCCAGTGTTCTAAAATGTAAATCATAAATTCGATTCAATGGAACCAGACTGCGTAATTGCACAAAATATGTTCGTCGCAGAAGATGCAGAGCGATTAATTAAGATTAATCAAGATTATTTAACAAACTCCTTCGCGTTTCAGAAACACTTTCAGTGCAAAATCGTTCGTTTAACAAAAGACGTTAAGCGATGTGCAACTAAGAGCATTTGCAGCGATTATTTACAGTCCAAGGTTTTTAACTAGAGTGGGGGCGACATTAAGCTTCTTGAATACTTTTCGATTACTCCATCGCAGAGATAATGAAATCCAGGAATTCGGTCACTCTAGTATAAACACCAGGATATCCAGGCAGGCCGCATCCTAAACCGAACGAAACTACTCCAATTTGGAAGAAGTACCGGCGCTGCGGCAACATCAAAGGTCCTCCGCTGTCACCCTACAAAATTATGAAAAATTAATCCTTCTACATTTCACCGAATTATTTTTTTATGAAGTGATTTTATCGAATTTTTAAACGTTGCATGACAAAGTTTGCATTTGCTAAAGTGGAAAGTAATGACTGAGGAAATGTCTGCAAATTTGAAGAAGGTGTGATAAATTTCGTGACTTTACCCGGCAAGCATCCTTTCCACCACCAGCATATCCAGCACACAATACTCGATCATCGATGACAGAGACATTTCTTCGGGAATATGCATCATTACAAGCTGCATTACTAACTACCGGTACCAGCACCTCCTTAAGAACTGGGCTAATAGCATTGCTGCCTGGCGAGCAAGTCAAATGAAAGAATATTCAAATAATATTTACATTGGAAAATAGCGAACGAATTTATTTACTTGCTTTAACTGATCCCCATCCAGCAATGAACAGATAGGATTTTACGAAATCATTGTTCCGAAGGGAAGGCCTTACTGGGAGACAAATCGGACGGATGTGCTCTGAAAGTAAAAAGACAAAAACGATTCATATATTTTCATTCTTAACGAAACTTCTATTCGTTAATTTCGAACAGAATTTCAATGAACACTTGAAATTTGTATTTCGAGGAAGAATGGATATTTATAGCATTGATACTTACCGGAAAATTCCACATTGTCGCTCAACCAGATAACAGCTATATCGTTGGCGGTCGACGAGGTGCCATATTGGGGATGAATTGTTACTTTGTCAATTCCCAATTGAACAGGTTGAACACCGTCGTCATCGCTGAATAAATCTAGGTCCCCAATGCGGACGGTGTACAAACCATCAATAATACAGTGGGCGGCAGTCAAAATGTGTCTGGAGGATATCAAAGATCCTCCGCACAGCCATTTTGGTTGCGATGGATTGCTTTTATTCTCGTAGCCTAAGGCTGCTAGCCAGGGCCATGCACCTGAAATATTGTAAACATTGCTAATGTACATTAGATAATTTAGGTGCTGAAATTAAAATTGGGGAGACTCAAGAGGAGTTTTAAGAGATTTGGAATTGGGGAGACTCAAGGGGAGTTTTAAGAGATTTGGAAATTTAACAATTGGGAATGTGGGAATTTGGAGATGTGAGAATTGGGGATGTGGGAATTTGGGGATGTGGGAATTTGGGAATGTGGAAATTCGGGGATGTGGAAATTTGGTGATGTGGGAATTTGGGGATGTGGGAATTTGGAGATGTGAGAATTTGGGATGTGAGAATTTGGGAATTAGGGAATTTGGGGATGTGGGAATTTGAGGATGTGGGAATTTGAGGATGTGGGAATTTGAGGATGTGGGAATTTGAGGATGTGGGAATTTGAGGATGTGGGAATTTGAGGATGTGGGAATTTGAGGATGTGGGAATTTGAGGATGTGGGAATTTGAGGATGTGGGAATTTGAGGATGTGGGAATTTGGGGATGTGGGAATTTGAGGATGTGGGAATTTGAGGATGTGGAAATTTGGGGATGTGGAAATTCGGTGATATGGGAATTTGGGGATGTGGGAATTTGGAGATGTGAGAATTTGGGATGTGAGAATCTGGGAATTTGGGAATTTGAGGATGTGAGAATTTGAGGATGTGGGAATTTGAGGATGTGGGAATTTGAGGATGTGGGAATTTGGTGATGTGGGAATTTGGGAATGTGGAAATATAAGGACTTGGAAATTTAGGGATGTAGAAATTTGGGGATGTAACAATCTGGCAACGTAGAAATTTTGAGATATAGAAAATTAGGGACGTTGGAATTTGGGGATGCAGCAATGTGGAATTGTCGAAATTTATTCCCCAATTAAATTTACACTGTTACGTTGTTGATTCTACCCACAGACAAATTAATCAAAAAACATAAAAGAAAGCGAGATATAATCTACATACCAGGTTCAGCTGGCACAGCAGCACCGCTAACACGCACATCGAACACATAATGTGAGGCATTGCTGAAGCCACAATTCGGTGGTTGCAATAGCCCATACGGACTGTCCCTTATTTCCTTAATATCTCTTGAGTCATCCTGAGGGCAACACACAATTGAATTCTTGTCGGCGTCATAGCAAGTCGCGTTCGTCAAGTATTCGCTAGCTTCTGGCTGAGTTTTTTGTACATATAATAAATACGGACAGGACAATATGTTAATGCAGACGCCTTGTAGGTTGTTTCGTATGCATGATTCACCTGAAAAGCAGTATTTTTAACTCTAGTATTCATTTAACTCTAATATTCATTTAGTGTATTCATTTAACTCCAATATTCACAAATATTTTGTGAATGTTTTATGAATTTAATGAAAGTTGAAGTGAATTGGTCATATTGCTTCCTTTTGTTATTATTTATAAAATGAACTAATTATACTTGTTTCAAAGAAAATTAATGAAAGAATATAGGACGGTATTTTCTGAAAGTACTGATTATCTTGTTACTATGAATTTCGGGGCCCTTAGTATACTTCATCGAACACGTTTACTTTATACTAGTCTTTCAATTGACAATATTTAAACGAATAGGTTGAACATTTTTCAATTTGTTTTTGTTCGGTATTACATAGACATTACAGTTGGAAAAAAATTAACTTTTACAAACCTTCTGCGGATACCTGGGGCACCATGGATGGATACAGAACTGCAATTAACACCAAACATGGGAACAACATCTTTCCTGTCGCTGGGTTTCTGAAAAGAAAGAGAAGGTTCAGTATCGCATGAAAATATACGAATATCAAGTTTCACAAATATTTAAAAAAAAATACAAATTGCAGTGATATAATTCATAGGATTATGACTATATGAAAACATCACATTGTCGTATTTGAAGTGAATTTAATTTACGTCACATAGTCGTGTTTGAAGTGAATTTAATTGTCACATGGAATATTATTCAATAAGTATAAAATAATTTAAAATACATGAAGCTCTGTTCATACACCAAATCTCACAAATTTCGCAGATAATTCACTTTAGAATAATTTATCACAAAACAGGTAATGACTATAAAAATTACAAAATAGAACACTGTAATTATTGGTATCTCGTCTATAACTTTTTTTAGTAATCTTCGCGTACTACTCTACACGGAGTGACCTTTTCGTTAAACTTCGAGCTTCTGAATGAGCTTAACTGAATTATACCTGATTATTCAATAAATTTTTATATACGTGACTATTCAATAAATAGTAAATTTCTGTGGGCCACTAAGTTCACGACAATTCACGCGAACCTGCTTCTGGCACGACTCGCGTCCGATTGAGGATTTCTCATCACGGTGCCCACTATTTAGAAGGGTTAAACAATTTCGGGAACCATTCATTCGAATAAATAAATAATTTTATTTCTGAGCTACAATGACAACGTTTAAAGGTATTCGTATAAGTGAATCACTTGAAAAGACATAACAAGTTTAGATCTACAGGGTGTTACCTGTAATGCTACTCACGATTTTTCTCCCACTTGCAGCCACCTTACGAAAAAATGTTTAGGACAATATTTGCAGGGTGTGAAGTGCACAATAGATATTAGTAAAGCAAATTTTTAAAACAGTTTGTTCTCTTCGCAAAGTCAAGGTCACCTTGGGTTTTTTAAATAGGAACATACATTTTTTTTTATTCATAGCTTTAGAGGACATCGAGACGAATTCAAAACATATATTACATGGTATTTTTATTAACATATTACTCGATTTACAGAAGTGGAAATGTTAAGTAGTTAGCTTTTGACTTTGGTAGTGTAACCATTATTTGGTTCCAAGGAGATTACAGAATGTAAACACGCGACTAGAATGTAAGAAAAATACACTTTAATTACATGTTCAAAATGTATGCCGTCTTCCATCGCGTAATATTCCGGTCTTTTACTTCACATTTCCACTTCTGTAAATCGAGTAATATGTTAGTAAAAATATCATGTAATATATGTTTTGAATTCGTCTCGATGTCCTCTAAAGCTATGAATAAAAAAAAATGTATGTTCCTATTTAAAAAACCCAAGGTGACCTTGACTTTGCCAAGAGAACAAACTGTTTT